CCCCCCAAAAAAAAAAAAAAATTAAAAAAATTCTACTTGGCAAAGTTTCCGCCACTGCTGAGTAAGTGAGGTTAACTTGCGATACAACAGTAACAACACTCATCATTGCTCATCAGCAAACATTTTATTCATCAGTTACACGCCTTTTTAGCCAGTTTAAATTTTAAGCAACTCAGGCTTTCTGGCATCCTTGTGTAGAAAAGTAGGACAAAAGTAGGACTAGAATTTTAGGAAAAGTAGGAATAAAGTGGGAAAATGTGTAGAAAAGTAGAACAAAAGTAGGAGTTTTTGGAGATGCAAATAACAAAAAAATATACAATATTGGCCCCCTAGGATATATGTAGTAAGGGGTGGACCATTAGATATCTGATGGACAGGTTGTGTTAATTTTTGGTGTTCAATATTTTTTTGTACTCATTCATCTATGCGGGATTTTTTTCTCAAAATTTTTAAACTGCAGCAACACAACCCAAATGCATGTATTGGGCTGCACAATACACCAATCCACACTGTCGCAGGAGCGTATATATAATGCTTGATTAACTTAGGGGGGAAGGGATGGGGGGGGGGGTGAATATTTGGAATCTCTTTGGAGTCTTCATTAATTTACTGATTATGATTCAAGAGATACTATGGAATTTTATACTCGAAAAATGTACTTCTTTTCCTGAGATCTTATCATCTGGGACACAAATATGGAATAAAAATTACGAGTCCAATAGATCTAATTACGAGAACTATAACATACTGATTCCCCAAGCTGTCTTAAAAAAGTAGGATTTTATGAGAAAAAGTAGGAAAATCAAGCAATTTTTAATAAAAAATAGGAAAAGTAGGAAAGTTGAAGAAAAGTAGGAAAAAGTAGGAAAAGTAGGATGGCAAGAAAGCCTGGCAACTAACTATTAATGAAAAATCATGGTGCCCACGATCAGACGGCGCATAAGTTGACCTCACTTGGCGCACAGTAACACTACCTCAGATTATCTTCGGCGTGAGGTTTGCACGGAATGCACCCTGGGGCAAGCGAAATGATCATTTGTCAAGCTCTTGATTACATGTATAGTTTATACAAGGATATTTATAAGTGAAGATTAAAGTATTAATTTTGAACAATATTATTCCAACTTTCTATAACAACTGAATGATTGATTCTTTCTGTACCATTCGAGGCATATGTCACGCTTACTGACTTAATCATATAGAGAGCAAAATTACTCGAATACGATTGGCTAATGATGAGGCGCAAGCGCGGGAAGTTTCTTGTTATAAACAGGAATAAAAACAATGGCTTCTCGCTTTGCCATTGCGGACAACGTTATTGAAGAATGAAAAACTTCTAGTAAAAAATCGAATTATACTATAAAAAGTACAATTTTATGAGGGTCTCCCAGGGGGGGTACTTGTTCCCTTGTTCCCTTTCAAAATTTAACCATGCATGCTCTGTTGTTCCCCTATATAAATTAAATTTTGTTTCGTTATTCAGAAAATTTGACAGTTTATCCTCGCTATCATCCATTATATTAATACATACGTTCACTTTAACAAAATTAAACAGAAAAATACAATCACAAGCTTGCAGATGTTGCTCGTTTGAAAAATACAATACTGAAGAAGACTATAATGTTTAATAGTTATTTGACTTCGTGGAAGTATTGACAGTATTAGTGTATTACTATTACATAACAAAAAATAGATCTAATGAAAAGCGTTGCATTTATAGTTTCTTCAATTGTTCCAACGATTAAAGTACTAAAGTATCACCTTTACTAATCATAATATACAAAATCGTCAGTAGCCTATGTGGTGTCTTTCTTGCACGTCTTGGCTTCGTATCTGTTGCACTTTCTTGGTCGATATCCTGGCGCTCTCTAATTTCTCTCGCCTCTTCAATCGTCACAGCTTCAACACATTCAATCATTCTCGACTGCTATCTTAGAAACTCATTCTCTGTCAGTTCAAGGTTGCTATCTCCTGCAAACGGTTTCCACTTGAGAACCAGGTATTTCTTTCGCATTGACTTTGACAACTCCTTCTTCTGTAAATATAAGTGGATTGAAAGGGTCACCTTCAAAAATGGTGGCTCTTGCTTTCTTTGTTGAAACACTTTTTGAAACGTTTTCTTGTAGATGGTAGATCATCATCCGCCTACAATTGGCGTACGAGGCAAGAAAAACAACGTCCCCAGTGGAATGAATTAAGCTTGTGCGTGTTGGCATGGCGTGTGTCTGTTTGGGTACCATTTTCTGTAATTTTCGAGAATTCCAAAGGCTCGCTAGCTAGTTGTGCCAGGGCATAGACATTTATCGGCAGAGTACCCGGATTGTCTTTAGTGCTCATGTTCCGCACGGTATTCTGTGGGACACTTTGACCATACTTCATGCGCCAGTCTCTCACTTGCTGCACTTGTGACTTTGTCAACTGTGCTGCTGAAGGTAGGGCCATCTTTGGTAGAGTTGAATACTTCAAGTCAGATTTGACTTGAAGTATTCAAGTGCTCCTTCATTGCTCGACTGAAGTGAAAGTCGAACTGCAACTGCATTGGCATATCACATGCCCTTTTCTCGGAGAAACAATTCTCGACTACCAGCGTCAAACGGCTTTAAGTTTGAACAACTTCAAAAGCTGTGGATCATACTTTTGAAGCAGACCTCGCATTTCTCCCAAAGATTCTTGTTTCGTCTTCCACAACGACTGAAGAAACGTTTCCTTGCGGACCTTGGCTCTGGGCATTTGTTCTAAGGAAGGCTTTGACTTGTTCTATGTATGCACTGACAGTCGAAGTCATATACCTCTTCGATTCTGGTGATTGCTGCGTCGATTGTGAAGGGCGTTGCCGTTGGTATCTGCTTTTTCAGGTGCAAGCAAAATGTGACCGAGAAAAGTCATGATGGCTGCTCAAAAATCTGACTAGAGGAGAAAATTCACTTATCATCCTCAAGCAGCCCGTAGAACAGTCTACCACAAGTACACTAGCTGGTTGGACAAATTGGAGAAAACGATATATTATGCCCATTTTTCATCTACAATACATTATAGGCCATTGTAATACTTGTATATATTCTAAGAAGGGGGGCTTTGTTCCCCTGTTTCCCAATATATTTCTTGTTCCCTAATTTTGTTTTCCTTTGTTCCCATGTTCCCATTGTAAAATTTACAGTGTTCCCTTGTTCCCCATAAACCCCTGGGAGACCCTCTTGTATGGGTTGGAGTATTTAATAAGAAATGGGCAGCATTAAGGAACATCGGCGAAGACATGGAGACATACGAGGTTCAAGAACTTGACCAGTTCACATGCAATTAACTTACGAATAAATTTTGCCCTCTATGCAACAAGTAATCGCATAGTTCCTCGTAAAATTAAGGTTTAATTTCAGGCGTGTTTTCGTGAAACTTTGAAATCACGCCTGAAAATCTGAAATTAAATCTCAATTTTACTTTGGCCCCATGCGATTTTACCTATACAGATTAATAATTTATGAATTATAAATTAATTGTTCGTTCTCAACTCCAACCAGCATGTGCTATAAATAGTAACTAACAAGAAAGTCAACTCGAAACTCCAGTACTGTGCATATTATATGACTACCAGAATTTATATAATTATATTTAATAACTCAAATAATAGAAAGATCTAATCGTTAGCGCCAAACTATATCATCTCTAATTCTATATATATATATGCATAAAATGCGAATGCTTTATATTACTTACGCATCTACGTAATCACGTTTATACCAACTATTTTGGCGTTTTAGCCGAGAAAATCGAAGCTATAAACTGAATTTATAATTATAAAACAGCTGCATGCTTTATACTTCAATTACCTGCATGTCATTAATTGGTTTGTTTATACTTGTTGCCCCTCAACGCTCTGTTTGAAACATCAAGTACATTTCGAAGACGTATAACACCGTTGACGAACAAAGACAAAGTTGTAAATTGTATCATTCTAATAACAATATTTCACTCTCAGCAACGTTAGTGTGTCAAAATGAGCGGCGACAGAGTTGCAAATCGCTTTGGTCGATGTTTTCACCACAGGAAAGAAAGGTTTAAACTTAAAAATCTCAAACTAGGTGACCATATTGTCGAGGAAGGATCTTCAACATATTGGCATCATATGATAGTTGAGGACACCGATGAGGAACAGATCCATGTTATTCATTATTGTCAGGGCTCGTGGTTTTCTGGTTCAGGTTCTGTTGTCCGCAGCGGTACGTTTAGATATACCCCAGACAAGTAAGTCAAATATACGAATAATATATCTTTTATACAAATCGTGTTCAGTTTGTTACAAAATAATGGCCAGATTTGTACCAGATATACAAATATATATAAACACAATAATATACTATATAGATATGTAGACTCTAAATTTCGCAGTTTTTACACCTAAAACGTGTAAAGTTACACCAAGTTGGTGTAAATTAAAAATTTAGGCAACACTTGGCACCATATCTCGATACACATGGCAAATAAACGGATCGGCGTTCTTATTTGCTTCGTATCACGGCCAGAAATCACGGACATTTGCATTTCTCTGGTTTCATGTTACCACGCGCATCCACGCAACAATGGCTGCGCAATGCCCTATGTTTATTATCAGGCGAGCGGAGCATTTTCAATATAGCATGCTATATATAAATCTTAGAATATTTGTTGAAATTGGTTCAAGAAGTCGCGGTCGTATAGTAACACATTAAAAAATAATGTTCTCATTACTTTGTATAGTCGCTCTGCTTTTTGCGATTGAATATTAAAACATTTTACCTCACTTTACATAGGAATCTATGAAGGTTTCTCGCTCAAACGGCAAAATCTCGTAATATATTCAATTATCGAAATTTGTTGAAATCATTTTATTTTGACGAATAGTATAGC